ATCTTCACAAGATCCAGAACGCAGCAGCCTGACTTCTCACTAAAACTAAGCACAGGGAACATATTCCTCCAGTTTTGCAGGACCTTCACTGGCTCCCTCTCTTTTTTGGATTACATGTTAAAATTTTGCTTTTGTTCTTCAAAGCTCCTAATGGCACCTGAATGTGTAGCTGATATGCTGTTCAGGTATGTGCACTCTAGTGTTAGCGTCCCCCTCACCAGGAGGGTGAGGGAGAACTGTGGTTGGACTCAAGAGTGCAGACCCAGGTGCTAGTGAAAACAGGTGGTGTAACGGTGAAAAATACAAAGTAACAAATAAATAACGTAATATAGTCCAAGTACTTATACAGTCCAGGCAGGGTAGAGAGGGATTGAGAAGACCAGGACGAGCAAGTGAGTAGATTGACACACGGCAGGAACCAGGAGAGCAGGAGGATGAGGACGGACAAATGAAAAAAGGTAGCAAAACAAAAACCGAAAATCAACAGCACAGGGACTATCAGCGTTGATATCGGTACGTTTTGCGAAAACGCATAAATAACGTGATAAAGGCAAGCCAAAACGCACAGTTACTGTCAGCGTAGCATTCTCGCACACACATATTTACGTGGTATTAACATAACATTTATCACGTACTTTGGGTAATGCTCCGGTGACAGCGGAGCTGTCTGCCAGAGGTATAAATAAGGAGGAAGTCAATCAGCGGGATGCACCCCAGCTGTGTGCACCGACAAACGAATCGCTAATTACGAATGCAACACAGGAATGCAGCTATGCTCCGCAGACAGAATGTGGACAGCACCTCAGGGAGAGGGCCGTTCTTTTTCAGTGCCCATATACTGTTTTTTAATACAAATACTTGTTTGCTATTTCAGAATTTTGCTTTCAGTGCCAATATTTATTCCTTGTTCCAGCTCCATCAAGGGCGTAGCCAGGGGGGTGGGTTTCGGGTTCAACCCCCCCCCCACCCGAAATATTTTGTTATTAGTACAATATATTGCAAAGATTGCACTGTGCATGAAATTTATGAAATCTTACACAAGCGATTAAAAGTAGCATGTCCTTGTTGAACAGGCAGACCTCTCAGCCTATCATTGCTAGATTTGCTTATACTTTTTAATGTGGCCTACCCTAAAATCAATATGAGGCAATCAGAATATCAGACGACACGGAAAGTGCACCGGTCACAGGTCAGTTCGCATCGCAAGCTAAAATGGATCGGTTCCTAGACTCCCGAAAGCATAAAAAAATATTTGACTTTTTTGTCCCTTTGAAGAAACAAAAGCATGAGGACGCTGAGTCTGACAAAGGTGAATACAGTGCAACAGGTCCCCATCATGCTAAGACCGAGGAGGATAGCAGGTCTGAAAGGCCATCGGCGACAGCTGCTAGCTGCTCGCAACAGCAAACCAGAATAAATGTACCTGACATAATGGACTACGTATCCTTAAAAAAGACTACTGGGCTGTGTGTCGATGATAAAACAAATATGTATTCGGTTGACTGTTCTCCTGCCACAGGTCAGTGTTTTCCTGTGAATAAATCGAGGCTGCGTTTTCAACAGCAGTGGCTAACGCAGTACCCACGGCTGGTGTATTCTCCACAGACTGACGGCTGCTTCTGCAAGCACTGCGTGGCATTCGGAGTGGAAGGTACAGGCAAGGGTGGTCATGTTGGCAGCGGAAAGCTGTTCAGCACCCCATATGCCAACTGGAAACATGCCTTGGAGGCATTTAAAGACCATGGTAAGAAAAAATACCATATTGATGCGTGTGTGAAAGCCGAGCATTTTGAAGTGATCTGCAAGCGGCAAGCTGATGACATTTCAGTCAGATTAGACTCTGAAAAGAAAAGACAAGTTAAAGAAAACAGAGAACGAATGAGGAGCATTATTGAAACTATCTTATTTTGTGGCCGTCAAGAAATTGCCCTCAGGGGCCATCAGGATTCAGGCCTACTTCAGCTTGAAGAGCCAACAGAAAATGATGGAAATTTCAGAGCACTGCTCCGTTTTAGGGCTCAAGCAGGTGACACAGCTTTGATGCAGCACATAAATCAGTCTGTCTAGTTCATATGCTCACTATTACAGTGCTGAGACACAAAATGAGATTATCGATATCATAGGTGACATTATTGTTCAAAAAATATCTAAAAAAGTAAACACAGCACAGTGCTTTACTGTGCTAGCTGATGAAATGAGAGATTGCTCTGGAAAAGAGCAGCTGTCTGTATGTGTAAGATATGTGGACAGCACGCAAGGAGAGGGACAGCATGTCATAAGAGAAGACTTTATCTCTTTTGTTGTTATGGATGCGCTGACAGGAGAAGCCATTGTTCATTCTGTTGAGGAGCAGCTGACTAAAGCAGGAATTGATGTGCGATTTTTGCGTGGTCAGGGCTATGATGGAGTTTCAGCTATGAGTGGCCGGATAAATGGAGCTCAAGCAAAACTTAAAGAAAGGCATAAGCATGCTGTGTATGTTCACTGTGCAAGTCACAGCCTAAATTTGGTTTTAAACAAATGTTGCACAGTTCAGGCAGTAAGAAACTGCTTTGGAATAGTCTCTGAAGTCTGCAATTTCTTTCACGACTCTGCCCTTTGATCAGCATGTCTGAGAAATGAGATACAGGCACTTGTGCCAGAGCAAAAAAAAATCTCAGCTTTGCTCATTGTGTGAAACAAGATGGGTGGAACGTCATGAGGCCATCTTCACTTTCAATGAGCTGTATGACCCAGTGAGATCAAGCTTGGAAAAAATCAGTGACACATTCTCTGGTGAGTCTTCTGTTAAGGCGAGTCAACTGTTAAGTGCAATTGACACAGCAGAATTCATTCTGACTATGACTGTTTGTGAAAAAATGCTTTCCAAGACATACCACCTGTCCCAGTTCCTCCAAAAAGAAAACTGTGATCTTGTAAGCTGTATTAATGCAGCAGAAGATGTCATTACACAAGTACAGAAAATGAGATCAAATGCAGAAGGAGGAGTTCAAAAAGATATTTTCAAGATGCCTGCATCAAAACAACTAAGTATGACATGCATGCATGGATATTTTTACCAAGAAAAAAAGGCGAAGACTTGACCTGATGTTATAAGGTAGGCACATCTTTATTCTGTGTTGTTAATGACCTATTTACTTCAGAGAAAATGGAAAAAATACTGCTAGGCAACCTAGTTGATATATACTTGACAAGTCATTTCTTTCCAGTCTGTCCAGTAAAATACTTACACTATTTTAATACAATTTCAAATATTTGGCTCTGAAGGTTTGGCTCAACTTTAGGGTTTCACCCTGTAAACAACCATTAACCCAAGTTATGTTGCAGTCTCCCTAAATTATGGGCATATTTGATAAAAAGAATAGAAAATTGGCCCCCTTTTCCATTTTAACATGGTCGTGTTAATTACCATTATGGTATTAATATGCATTGTTGTCCTTTACTGAACTGAAAGGTAGTGCATTTCTAACACTAACATTTAATGTAAAACTATGGCACTTCTTTACCTGGGACGCTCACTCCAACAATAAGAGAGCTCAGGCTGGAATAGCGACGGACATAATTTGAGAATCTGTTGTTGGAAGTCATCATTACCAGCCAATACCAACTCTCCTTCCCTGCCTCCGGTTTGGGATCCCGACCCCAGGCTCCATACTTGTAGGAGCCAGGATACTCTCCTGCTGTGTTTACAACGGCCCCAGTGATGTTCACAAACTGACCATAGGGGCAGATGCCTGAAAGAAAATTGTGAAATGAATTAGAGAAGAAACTGTACAGCTGGTTGAGAGGCACATTCACTGGTTGACAATTACTCTCTAATTGTGGTGAGAGCCTCCCACAGTTACCTGTTCATATATAACCGATTAAGCAGGGCATTTTACAGATGTGAATAACCTCAGCTGAAGTACTACTTTATGGTGCAAAGAACTAGAATGGCCTCTGATGTTGGGCATTCTTTTTGCTGGACATTATGGTCTGGTCACATCTGACTTTGCTCAAGCAGATTATTTAGCAGCTCATTTTGAGCACAGAGATGGAGAAGCCTAAATCAGTTTTCTGTCGCACTGCGAAATGTGCAAAAGGAACAGTGAAAATCTGGCAGCTGGACTGCCAGAAACGTGCACATGTGCACACACACACACACACACACACACACAAACAGTAGAACATACAGAAAAGAAAAACATTCAAAATTTGTAAAATAAATAATAATAAT